TGCCCGCGACAAAACCGAATCGCACTCTCGCCTGCATTTCGCACTCGACACGCACGAACTCCGCAGAGGGTTGTCCCGGACCGGGGCTCTCGCCTGCATTTCGCGCACTCGACACGCACGATCTCCGCAGAGGGTTGCCCGCGACCGGGGCAAATCGCACTCTCGCCTGCATTTCGCGCACTCGACACGCACGATCTCCGCACACTCGACACGCACGATCTCCGCAGAGGGTTGTCCCGGACCGGGGCAAATCGCACTCTCGCCTGCATTTCGCCCACTCGACACGCACGATCTCCGCAGAGGGTTGCGCCGGACAAACCCAAATCGCACTCTCGCCTGCATTTCGCGCGCTCGACACGCACGATCTCTGCAGAGGGTTGCGTTTCGTGGTGCTCCGGCGGCACTGCCCCCGGCCGATGTGAGGATGTGAAGATGAGCAGAGATGATGTGAGGATGTGAAGATGAGCAGAGATGTAGATGTGCAGATGTGAACATGAGCAGAGATATAGGTGAGAATGTGGATGTGCAGAGGTGAAGATGTGAAGATGTAGATGATACGTAGTTCTGCAGATGCTTTTTTACGAAGAGCCCTTCGCAGACGCTCTCGGGAAAAAATGAAAATCGTGATTTGATGATAGTGTCTATTTAATTGTGAGAAACATTTTTTCGGACATTACCAGAAACACCGGTTATTACATTAAAAACGCCAAGAGCAAAACAAACCGACCAGTTATTTCAACATCATTGAAAAACATGAGAAAAGGCGGCAGGAAGAACCCATATCCATTAGTTTCAAGAAGGCGATTGAATGATTTCAGACGAATGCAAGTTTGCTTTATATATTTTTAGGCAAATATAGAGACACTTGTGAATCTCACAGTTCACTGATTGGAATCATAGTGTGTTACGATAGAAGACAACACTGTGAACATGTGCATGTCATCTTGCAAGGTTCCCTTGCTGTTGTCTAAAACTAACAGTTTTTTTGGAAAAATACACACGCTCACATCGCCATCTCTTTTCTTGAAAACATATAACTTTAACAGTAATGTCCTGCACCACACTGTTGTTTAGTCTGGGCCTGTTACTTTCAACTTTGGGTTAGAGTACTTGAACATTTTTCTTAGGTCAGGGGACGACGCATACCCTCTGACAAGATTCGCTGTTATCCCGTGGGGAAAGACACGACTACCCTTCAATGGCCAGCGGTTTTGGGGCAGCTGGATCGTGTGGATAAGACCGGAGTGGCAGATGAAGAGAAGCGCGAAGAGGCAGCGCACTACGAACGCCATCCTGAGAGGCTCGTGGAGCCTGTGGAATTGCTTGACAGCCATGAAGGCTACGACGCCCGGGATTGCCAAACCACGCGTGAGGAGGGTGATGGCCAAGCCACAGATGAGGCTGGTCGTCATGAAGTCCACTTAGAGAGCAGAATGCGTGTTGATGCATCTGATGCTTCTCCCTTCTCCCCTGAGGTTGATGCATCGCACAAACGCAGCCAGCCAGGTCAGCCGTCAAAGAAAAAGACCAGACGCCTTATGCCAAAGGCAGGAGCGAAACAAGCAGAACCGAAGTTCGAGCCAACTACGCCAATCATCGGACATCGCATGGATCCTTAATGCAAAGACATGCTTTAGGTCCGCTCCAAAGGCTGCGCTGAGCTCCTCCTCCTCCTCCTCCTCCTCCTGCACAACACTTGACCCGCTGCCAACATTGGGCATGTACAGCAGAGGTAAGAGATGTTTTGTTGAGACTGGGAGCAAAGCTCCGGAGTCGAAGATTCCAAAAGGAAGGGAGAAACTCCGAATCTGGAAGAGATGACTCGACTGCTGTTGCCGTAGCGCACAGATTCAGTGGAAAAGTGTGTGATCGCATGGTGTGATGCTGGCAGGCCACTGGCAGCTGGCAAGCGATTCTCGCGGTGTGTTGGATGGAAGATTCTTATCCACCACGTCCAGTGTCAGGAATCTTCATTTGGGTGGTGGTGCTGACGCCTGACGCCTGGCCTTGTGGATTCAGACCAGGGTCCTTCAAGCCGTGGTAGGGCACATTTCAGGAGCTGAGGCAACCGGTTCGTAACGCCGTGCCCACTTAGTGCTGACAACTGAAAGCCATTCTTGTGCCAATCATCCCGTCGCGCGTGACACGGGGTCGAACAGTAGGTGACAGCTAGGGGAGCACCAAAACATATCAAAACTGCCAGCAAGCTTCCCTGAGTAACACCGCTCTCGCATGAGTAGAGTTTCGTGTTCTGCGGCCCCGGGGCAGCTGAATGCCTCCAACAGGAAGCTTCGAAGACCGAAGAAGTGTTTTTATTGAGAAACACCGAAGCAGAAAGGAAGACAACAAATGGGGGGATCTACTATTCTTGGACAATGATTTGCCATTGATAGAGGTCTGTCACTTTGACCAAGAATACTAAGAGTTTGAGGGTCAGACCTGACAGGAGGGCATAGCTGAACGAGTTGAACACAGTATATAATAATGTTTGCAGAGCCGAATGAACTCATTAATGAGGCTCTGGGATGGTCTCATTCATGAGCTGAATGAGCTGTGTTCACAGAGCTTTCAACGAACCTTGTTGGAACACCCGCCTTGCTGACCCTGGCTTGTCGAGTGGTGTGGCGGCGGGGGCACCTGTGTGGAGAGCTTCAGAGCGTGAAGCTGGGATGGGAAGTTGAAGATGGGTTCAGGTCCAACTGCATGTGCAAAATAAGAAACTACATGCTAACAGCTGCTTAAGCTGTCAGTACCCAGGGGTGGGGCATGGTCGACCACGTCCAAAAGCCACTCCTCAAGCCTCAGCCTCTTCAAGCGTTTCGCTGCTAATTCCGTTTGTGCCACTTCCCTTGTGCCAGAAGCGAGGCCTATCGCTGAAAGGCGCTGCAGCCTACAAGGCGAAGCAGGTTCGATGGGTGGGGCATGGGAGCACCGTCCTCACTGTCCTTGTGGTTCATGACAAATGGCGGGGTGCTTATTACTACGTTACCCTGGAGGCCTGAGCAAACACACACTGCATACGGACAGTACAAGAGACAGACCAAGCCATTGTGGGTACATGCGTCCAGCGACAAGTGGGAAGTCTTCCGAGAAGCCCACTTTTTTTGCCAACCTGAGGATTCGATCGGATGGGATTGGTTTTCAGCGCTCAAAACCCACCCAAAACGCCCAAAACGCCCCAGGTGACCGACCGGCCGGAGGGGTGGAGAAAACCGTTTTCTAACCGAAGCCGCTGCGAAGGCCAAGAAACCGTTGAGTGGGGGAGCATCCGGGTTGGAGTCTGAAAATGGGGAGGACGAGATGTGTGGATGTTGTATTTGCAAACGTGACCGGTTTCCTTTGAAGTGCACCGTTTAGCTGGCTGAGAGCAAGCCGAGCCGTCCGGTCGCCCGCCGAAACATCGTTTTTTTCCGCCGTGTGCTCGCTGCGATGGGTCGCCTGCGACATAGGCCTTTTACTATTGGTTGGTTGATTAATAGGGGTCGACACCCCCAAGAGTACAACCACATATTTATTTATTTATGCTTATTTAGAAAAAACAAAAAAATAGTACTAAATAAATAAAAAAACAATAGGTACATGGTACCAAATCGACCAACCCCATAGGACTCACCACTGCGCTGCGAGACCCCTATTGATCGACGCACAGACGACTGAGCTCCACCGGTCACGTGTGGGTGGGAAGCTTGAGGGATGGTTCATCCCACAATGAGCGAGTTCAAGGGGTGCACGTGCATTGTGCTGGCTTTTGAACTGGCGCTTCTTTGAATTGGGAATATCAGGTGTTTACAACTTTTGTATTGTGATGAATCACTGTTTTTGAAGGATTTGTGCTTCATCACATTGGTCCTTCTGGAACTTTTCAATCAGAGAACTGTCGTCCGTCGACCATCAAAGTGCAGGGCTCCCCACTGTGCAGAACCGGAAAGAGTGGGGTTCAGATGTTGATAGGCCCTTCCTCACTTCGCGGATTTCGCTGCGAGGAAGGCCCGTATTGGGGAGATTTCAAGTCTTCTTGGTTTGGGGCAGGATGACCTTGTCGGTTGCTGTAGATGTGTGACCATAACACAAAATACATAGCTTCTTTTTGTGTCTTTCCAATTGGCATGAGATGAAATCACCGTTTCGTTCGAAGAGTTGCTTCATTCTGGCTCCGCAGGTTTGTTTCAACGATCGACTCGATGGCTCAGGCAGCCCGGGCCCCCAGGCAAGGTTCCCCAGTGGACCGGGTGCAGCTGCGCGAGTGTGAACGGAGTTCTAAAGGTCAAACGTCTGTCAGGTTGTGGCCGTGGCCTAGCAAAGTTTTGGCCACGGGATTCCATCTGACTGGATAAGCCGAATTTCCTCCATTTGGTGTTTCCGGCACTGTTGGATGAGCGGTTTGAATCGCAGTTTTTCCGCAGTTTTTCATGGGCCAACGAGGAAACGCTGTGGAAGAACCCTACGACTGGATCGCCTGATCAGAGCCCAAGGCGCGGGGGGTCTGGCCTAGGTTGGCGGTGAAGGTTGGGGAACCATGCCATTGTCCCATCTTGTTAATCCTTTAAGTATCTTAAGCCCAGTACGTACGTCTCAGAGTCCTGAACCGCGGTGTTGGGACGTGCAGCAAGAAGACATGGCACGTTGAGACCCTGCGGACCGTCTACCTCGTTGGTAAGCATCTAAGAATCCCTCTCTCTCTATACACACATAACAGGGCAACATCAAATAGAACCATCCAAGCAAGCCAAAAAGGTAGACATTTGGGAAGGGGGGATAGCATATAACTATATATATATATAAATCAAATAAAACTATAATACACATTGCCAATCTCGGAGAGATTGCTCGAGCCTTCTGTCGACATGTGGAACGCATGAGATCATTGAAGCATCTCAGATCCAGAACCAGTGAACACCAGAACCAATTGATATCACTAGGAATCGCCAACCAGGCATGGGAAACTCTGGTTGTTCCCGGAGAAAGCATCTATCGGACCTATCCCGTCGTTGCATGGGCCTATGGAGCGTGCCCTGCTGGTGCTGACCGCTCTGATCACGAAATCCGTGGGATCCTGGTGTCAAAGCCATGATGGTAGCTGTGTTGGGCAACGCCACAGTTTTGAGAAGAAGGAGATCTCGCAGCTCACAGGTGATCCGTATCACGGCACGGTGCGCTTTGCAGATTGGGATGGTGATGGCGACACTGATGTGTTGGTTGGTGAGGCAGGGGCGATCTGGCTCCATGAAAGGCTTTCGCAGAACACTTTTCAGAAGCGCCAGTTGCTGAAGCTTGAAGCACAACACCCAGGAGAGCTCTTTAACCACCTTTTCCAATATCCGCCCCCTCCCGTTGCTGCCCGCCAAAATCGCTTCGAAGTCGTGGACTGGGATGGCAACTCGGTTGTTTATAGGAGACACATTTTTCTTTTGTCCTTTCATGCTCGGGTGCATGGTGGCAGCATGATCTTAGAGCTCTTGAGGTCTTGGACAGATTCTCTTGTTCCAGGGTGTTCAAGGGTTTTTGGTGAGACAGCGTTTGGTATGTTCGCAGTCTCTCACGGTCGAGGTGATCATCAGCTTGATTTGCTGTTGTGCAGCACAGTGAATGATTCTGTGACTGTGAGGCTGTGGAATCGTTCCACGCATGTGGAAGAACCTCTTGATTTTCCAGTCGTTTTGTCGACCAACGGATCTGTATGTGATATGCTGGCTGTGGACTTCGATCACGATGGTGATCTGGATCTGATGTTGGGACATCACAACTATCAGCCAATGTACTCCAGATACTTTGAGCGTATCTCTGAGAGTCTAGTGGAGCGCACTGGAAGAGAGAACCCTTTGGAGGTTTTCGACCACAAGGTTTTGTGGATTGCTGATATGGATGGTGATGGAGATTTGGAGGAGGGAAGATGTCTCGAAACATCTCAATCGTTTCGTTTCGACCGTTCATCCTCGTTCATTTTTTCGAGAAAATTGGTGACATTGGGTGACTCAAGCCATGCTGTTCGTTGGAGTGGAGAAGAGTGAGTGACTAGTGACTAGTGAAGAGAGGTAGTTTACTCATTGTTGGCCTTGAAAGGTGGTGACCAGGGGCTACTCGAAGTCGACAGAGTATTATGGGCACCTCTACTTGGCCTACTTTGACAGTGCTGCTGACGGGAGCTTTTTGACAGTGGAGAACCCCTTGGAGGAGATCTCCTTGACTACAAACTCAGAATTCTGGTCTGAGTTTTATGTGGCAGATTGGAACTCCGATGGTTGGTTGGACATTTTGGTGGTACATGTGTACGCCAACGGGAAATCCCACTGGACCTTGGCCGAGTACTTTGAACATGTGCTGGATCGAAGCCTGGCGCAGAATTCTCAGCTCAACGCCTACCAGGATGTCGAAGTCGGACCCTTCTCTGAGCATATCGTCCTAGACTGGAATGGCGATGGGGCAGAAGATGTGGTCGTCTTGGAGGACTCTGAACGCTTTCATTTGTACGAATTTCATGAGGGCAGTGTGAGGACAGTTCCCAGGGTCTTTGAGAACATCACCAGCTTGGGGGAGAATCCATACCCTTATCAGCCGTATCCTGCTGCTCGAGCAGCGTTTGCCGATTGGGACCAAGATGGAGATGTGGACCTCATCTTCTCCTCACAAGCAGATGGCAAGCTGCACTATCATGAGATGATCTCCGGCAGTTGGACTTCAGAAGATGCAGAGCATCCCTTCAGTAACATCTCCTTGGTCAACCACCCGCAGCCGGTGGTTGTAGACTGGGACAATGATGGTGACATGGATTTGTTTCTGGGTCCACCAGATGGACGATTCTTTGAGCAGCTGGCGGACGGCACTCTACATGAGTGGCCACTGGAGCAAAGCCCAGTCAAGGATCTGGTGAAGCAGGGCGATCTCGCGTGGCGAGTTCTGGATTGCGACGCAGATGGTGATTTTGATTTACTCCGACTGCGATCCAATCATGAGCAGCAGGTGCAAGCTTGTGAGCACGAGCAGCGAAGTCCGCATCAGCTTGGTACTCTGAGATGCGATGATGACTTCTTGTGTTTAGGAACAAACCTCAGTCACTTCAAGAATAGCCCAGGAGGTCCTCTTGAGGGACTGGGTGACTTGTTACACTTGGACTTGGGAGACCTGAAGGATGGCCGGCTCAAGTTCATCAGCGTGCATGACAACGCCAAGGGTGCAGTGCTTTGGAGCGCCGGCTTCTGCGTTCCATCTGACCCCTGCCATCAGAGAGGCTTTTGCTTGCCTCGCGCAACGCAGTGCAGCTGCGTTGCAGGCCATGAGCTTGGTGATTGTTCTGGTTGTGAGCCACATTTTTATAGTGAGCAGGCACAAGTTGGGCAGATGCATCGATGCAAAGCATGTCCAGGAGCAGATGGGCAAGTTTGCTACGGTCGAGGCCTTTGTTTCGATGATGCGGCAGCCAAGGCGGCCGCCGCGGCCGCCGCCCTGCAGTGGCAGTCCTCCACGGCCACTCTCATTGCGCAAGGTACAGGCTCCTGCATTTGCAATGATTCTCATTTCCATGGACTCGACCAGGAGGGCCGAAGCACCTGTGCGGAAGGCTCTTGCCCAGCTGGCACCGAAGAGAGTCAGGGTCTTTGCTCTCCTTGTGCAGCTGGATCGTTCTCGCAAGCAGGTCGGCTTTGCAAAGAGTGTGGTCCTGGAAGGTTCTCATTGACCGGAAGCAGCACTTGTTCAACCTGTCCTCCAGGAACGGTTTCAAAGACATCAGGTGCTTCGGCCTGTGACGTTTGCCCTGCAGGAACGTATGAAGTCGATCATCAACTGTGCAACAAGTGTCCTGGTGGCTTCATCTCGGCAGCAGGGAACAACTCTTGCAGCGCCTGTGAGGCTGGTTCCTTTGCGCCAAAGGTGGGCAGTGTCGCATGCGAGCCCTGTCCAGCAGGCACTTATTCAGGTGAAGCCAGTGGAAAGTGCAGCACCTGTCCTTCAGGCACCGTTTCATTTGGAGCAGGTGGAGCTTGCCGACGCTGCGAACCTGGCCGCTTTGCCCAGTCCTCTTTGACATGCGAGCCATGTCGCGGAGGAACCTTTGCATCCGAAGGAAGCAGCGCTTGCCAAGCGTGTCCGGTGGGTCATGTGTCCCATGACAACAGCGCTACATGCAGCAGTTGCGAAGGGTTGTTCATTCGAGCCACTCCTGATGCCATGAGACAAAGCTGTCAAATTCTGGCCATGGATATGGTTTTTGCTTTGATCTTATGGATGACCTTAGCTTCTTTGTGCTTCCTCCTCTTCACCGGCTTTTCAGGTCGAATTCCCATCTCCGATCTGTCCGCGCAGGGCGAAAAACTGCTGGTGACCACCTCTATTGCCCACTTTCTTTTATCACGGCCATGCAACGTGACCTTCGCACGCACCGGAGTTCCTGACTTGGAGTCATCTTCGTGGACCTGGAGGGTGAAAGCTACGAGCTACTATCACTTGGCACTGGAAGGTGAGAAGAGCAGTATGCCACTGGACACATCAAAGGGACACTTGCATGTGAAGTTCCCACAGCTCTTCGTGTCAGCTGGCTTTGCCCGCTGTCCGCTGATCGGGTGGTGTGTGTTCTTCTTGGCAGCGACTGTTGGAACTGCACTTCAACTGACCTGGCGCTTCAGTGTGGTGCTTGGTGCCTTGGGCCTTTGCACGGGCTCTTTCTGTTTTGCTTTGCGCCGGAGGCATGGCTTAAATCGCCGCTCCGTGGCGATTGCAGAGGGTCGAGTGGAGACCGTTAGATACGTTTGGATATCAGTGATATCATCATCAACTTGACAGCATCATAATTGAATATATTTGATCTAATTTTTAGATCCCATTCTATCAATCGTTTGTGCTCTCAAACCCCCGGAGGCAGGGCACCAGAACCCCTTTGGCCAAACGCCGTCACGAGTTTCTCCAAGAGTGGCAGCCCTTGGCTCTCCAGAGATGCAGCCGGGGACCGGATCGTTCGATGAGCGCCGGCAAGTTGCAACGCTTCGTGCAGTGTCTTGGAATGTTTTTTTTCGTGCTTGCCCTGGGAGTCGACTAGGTGACCCGAGTCTAGGAATCTCCTTCACTTCAGCCGGTCAAAACATAGTCGAACTGGACTTCTAGGGCTTGTTATTATTTTCTCCCAACTTTCGCATGAGATTTGGAGTTCCATCGATTGAATGAACACATTGGTTGGCAGATATATAGTAACTTATGTAATTAATACCAAGGAGTTGTGGAATTCCACCTGTCCCTTCCCTAAGAAGTAGCATTTATAACCACGACCAATGAAGCAAAGATAACAATTACCTTCCTTGGTGCTGAGCAGGTTGATTCAGAATACTCATTTTGTATGGAATGTGAAAGGATAGTGTTTTTTCTTCTTTTCTTAAAACGTGACAAACTGAAAGACTCAACATTGAAAGGTCATGTGCTCTTTTGTTTGCAAAGGGGCATCGGTTATTTGTTTATTTGTCATGCAGCCATTCGGAATTTCTTCGATTTCACAAAAGGCAGCCAGTCCTAGTTCCGAAGGATTTTCTACGATTTCACCAACACGTTTGGCGCATGTTCAAAGCGGGTTGGCTTTTACCCGCATGAAACAGCTGTATGATTTTAAGTCTTTTTTGTTTTTTTCCTGATTGTTGTTAGCAATTTTCACTCACTTGGAACTCTGAACTACCACAAGCAATGGAAAAAGAAGACTCACTTGGAAGTGAACCCCCCCCTTCTGTTTGGCCAACGACCATCCGTCCCGGGACCCCATCCTTGTCTGTGCGCTTCGCCTCCGCGTGCGTGGTCGGCTCCGGTGAGGTTCTTTGATAGCTTCATCAAGGAGCGTTCCATGTACTACGTTTGCTCCAATATTGTGAAGCCCCTCACCAAGCCCTTTCAACTGTCTTTCGTGGAACTCGTGGGGGCAACGAAGATCCAGTGGTTCGTGAGCCACTACTGGGGCATGCCACTTCGTCATTTCAGTGATGCCATCCGAAAGCATGCCCAGTCAGTAGCGTCCAGTTCAGGCTGGCAAGATGCGGCATACTGGATTTGCACCTTCAGCAACAGTCAGTGGCATGTGAAGGATGAACTTGGCCATGGAAAATGGGAAGATTCGTCCTTTTACCTTGCGCTCAGAAGTCCAGAGTGCAAGGGTACCACCATGATCATCGATGACACAGTTCAACCACTTCAAAGAATTTGGTGCCTTTTTGAAGTGTACCAAACCATTTGCCTCTCACGCAGTGATCACTTTCAAGGTTTGCTTCTTTGCACTTCTGCCGGAGTCTTGCAGCAAGGTAATGCTGGAACCGATGTGGCTGTTGCTGTGGCCAAAACAGTGGCAGAGTTGGATACATGCAGTGCTCAGGCAACTGACGAAGAAGATCGGCAGATGATTCATTCACTCATCGAGCAGATGCCTGGTGGCTTTCATGCCATGAACAGCTTCGTTCGAGAGACCATTTGCAAAGCTTTGAAGGCTTCTCATCTTCATTATGAAGCGACTCTGAGCGATTTGATGCAGACCTTGACTTCAGAGCCATCGTCCTCAGCTCCCCCCGCACCTGTGGGTGGCATGCCTGCGGGGCCCACACTTCTGACGAGTAGTGTCTACAGAACCCCTTGTGAGACCAAGGTAGATGCCACGTAAATCCTTGCAAAGATGATGTACAGAAAATTGGGCAAAGATTTTGAGCAGATGGTCTTGTTGACCGTTTGTTGGCATTGCCCGGGAGAATTATTGCAATTTTGCAGGGACTTTTGCACAAGGCAACCCGTCTCAATCTTAGTACAACAGTTGGCCAGACTGTGGCCGTGGCTTTGGCCAAAGCAGTTGCTGAAGCCAAACTGAGGATATACAGCCGCAAGAAAACCTGCCTTTTGGAGATCCTTGTTGACAGCAACCCAAAGCAAGATTATGTATTCAGTGTTATTTTCGAGGGGCACTTGAACTTCAAGTGCCTTCTAAGGTCCAGTCGTTGCGGTTTGCACCTTTCGGATGTGAGGCGAGTGGTCAAGTAGCCGAGTCAAAAGGTTCATCCTCAGACTCTGGACGTCAGCAGGTTCAGACTGTCACCGAGGAGCGCGGTGCGGTCACTGAGCTTCATTCACCGGCAGGTGAATGTTCAGAGGTTCTGTTTTTTTCTCCTACAGACCTTGCATGCTGCTAGTGAGTCCAAGCTTGCTGATTCAGCCAGTTTTTTGTCATTGAATTGGCAGCCAGTGATGTTGGGCAGAGTGCAGTGCATAGGGAACAACTGGACTTGTTATATACTATTTGAACAGCCACTGCCTATAGAATTCCGACCAGAAGATAAGAGCCCACCTTGAATTTATTCGCTGCCTCACGCACCCTTGCTCCATGGCCGACCCCAGGTCCAATGACCATCGCCTGTGGCTGGACATGGCTGAACAGCGGCCTCTCGTGCCGTGCACGGAAAATGTGTCACGCGACACGGGACGTCGCGGTTGACGTCGCTGTGGATGGCGCCGTGGAAGCATTCTGGTCGCTGACAAGGCAGAGTTGGTGAGAAGAAGTCTCCAGGAACAGGGTGTGCGTGAAGACCTCGTGGAGAACCTCTAAGCCGTGAGTCTCCAGCGAGCTGGCTCCGTTTTGGAACACAGGAGGCTTTTTTGATGCGGTCGTGTTGCTCAAGCCAGTTGGAGCTCTACCTTGAGCGCCAGCTCTACTGTGCAATTCAACTCATAGATGGCCTTTTACTATTAGTTGGTTGATCATTAATAGAGAGGATACCCCCAAGTGTACCACCAATAGGCCAATGGTACCAGACCGACCCATCTATTCTTCCCAATACGGACACCACTGGGTTGACTGGGTTTAGGGACGGTCGCGGAGGGATCAACCTCGTCCCCGTGAACAAGAATGGTCAAAGAAGCACCGTCGACGTGTTTTGAGGTTTTGAGCACGTAGTACACCAGTTTTCCTAGTGAAGAGCAAGAATGCCCAGTCTAGCGTGATTTGTTCCAACGAATTCTTAGGATGCATATAGGATGCATATAGGGCCCTATAGGGCATACATGTTCCAGGTCGATTCTTCAGAAAAAAACACGACACCACACGCCGCACGCCATGCCGTCCACGCCGCGAACGGCCACGGCCACGAGAACACGGCCACGAGAAGCGCCGACCGTTCGCGATTCGCGTGGGTCACGCGTGCAGCATGCATGATGGCACATTGGTCGGATCCTACTGGGTGGCTTGGCGAAGGTGAAGAGGACGAAGTTCTATCGATTTGGAAACATGTATGAACGAAAATGCCATAATAGGACAAAATCCGAGGGACGCACCCTCCACATCCCCTCCACCAACCTGGCTGGGAAAACCCAGCCACAGCGCCATAGGGGTAGGGCTTGGTAGGGGTTCTTCAACCCTTTTTGGGGGTTTCTGCCTTTTTGGTGGCCCGGCACGGCTGGGGCTGCTGGGGCGGCTGGCCCGGGCCCCGAGGCGCCGCGCCCGGACCGCGTCTGGTGCCCCTGCCGCTTGCAGTCCGTGGAGGGCGGTGGCGTGTCGTTGATCTTCGAGGACGGCGAGCGATGGAGCTGCTCCGAAAAGGAGCTACAAGAGCTGGACCCGGTGCAGGCGATGGACCTGGGTGGGAGTGGGAGGAGCGGCGATGTTTGCCTGGAAGATGTGGAGATTCTCAGGTCAAAGATTTGGAGGTTTTGTTGTTTTGGTGCCAGAACGATTAGTTGCAATGAGTCCTGCATTGTGTCGGATGGTTCTTGGTGAAGGAGAGCTTTCAAACAACACATTCATTTTTGTTTGACGTGAATTAGACTAGATGTTTTCCGGGTCAAGGGTTGCCAAGAACTTGAACTGGTAACTTGAACTTGCAGGATGTGTATCTTCACTGGAAAGGGTTGGCCGGAGCTTTTTTGACGTAGGAACTGCAAGCAGAGCCCTGGAAGGCAATTGCTTGAAGGTGGTCTTTGTCCGTTTCTCCGCTTTTGGCTGAAATGCGTGTTGTTTCAGAGTGGCTGTCAGTTTGCAAGAAGGTTAGTCTTGCACCAGAGTGTTTATGTTCTTTCGGGATGGTGTCGCATCACGTTTGCAATGACGCCCTGCAGCGACAGGGACCTCCTCCATGCTCCGCTTCTTTATACTGTTGAAACTTCACCCTTGGGCTGTCATGCTATTGGAAGACTCTTAAAGATGTCGAACACCCTATTTCGTGGCACTTCTCCATTGCCATCTTCCCTGGCCAAACTCTGGCTGCTTCGCCGGATACTTCGCCCTGCTTCAGGACGGCCAGCTGGATGGTGTCGAAGACATTTGTACCTTGTCCATCGTCACGGAAGCGGCTTTGCTCTACAGTGTGCGTGCCCGCTACTTCAGGCTCGCAGGGGTTGGAGGTGAAACGAATATGTCGGAAAACTCTTATACTCTTCATTCCCTAAGCAAAAGCTTAGGACCTAAGCTGGATGGCAAGTAGGCAGATCTATTGCCCACTTGCCTACTGGCACCTGCCAACGTGTGCAACTGCCCACCAGCTCGCCAACCCCTCAGCACCTCCGGGCGACCGTGTGAGGCAAGAGATCTACACCCGCGTGGCCCGGATCCTCATCTCGGTGAATCCCTTTCGAGCACTGCCCATCTACTCCGCCAGGCACCGTGATGCGGGTGGTGCCGGTGGTGAAGAGGAGCGGGTAGACCCTGGAGGTTCATGCCTTTCATGATGTAGAAGAAGGAACAAGGTGGGTTCGGGTGGTTGACAGAGTTGAAGGTCAGAAGACCTGGAGATGTCGGAGATGACAAAGCAAAATAAAGCAAAAACACAACCCATCCAAAGCCCCACAATTGTTCTAACATACTTTTGGTTTCCAGCTTTGCCAGCCATATTTTTTGAACCCTTTTTTTATCCAACCCATGTTGATGCTTCTCCAGTCCACACACCAGTTCCCGCGTTCGCGCGGAAGACACCGCGCGCGGAAGACGCCGCGCCGCGCTCTATGGGCGCGGAGGCACTTGACGGACTTTCAAAAGGCCAAGGATTCCATGGAGCTCTCGCCCCACATCTTCGGCACCGGCCACTGGGACGACGCCGAAGCCGCGCGATTACGCGCGCGCCATGCATGCATCGCGTCGTCGCGCGTCGCGCTCGGACCAACGGAGACGCCGCGGGCGACGCCGCCCGGCGACGGAAAACGGCGACGGCGAGGACGGCGACTTGCGACACTAGCGAGACTTGCGGCCGGTGGAAGGGAGGATGGTGGGACCCATGGAGTGATAGTTGCAACGAAAAACCATGAGTTTGGAGGGGAAAGGTGAGATGCGATCACTAAGGGATCAGTGAAACAGGATCTTCAGGCTGGCTCTTTTGGGCTCCGGGAGTGTAGGGGCACATGCCAGCGCCAGTGAGAGGGTCTGCAGATGTTGTGAAGTCACGCTCACGGCGTGTGTTGGGCGCCGTCCCCATGAAACACAGCTCTCTTGCTGGTCCTTGGGTGATTGGGTGATTTAAGGATGTGGTGAGGTGACGCAAGCGGTGCAGGAAGGATGTTGATTGACAATGATGTGCGGAAGATGACAGGAAGATGGTGTCGCAACACTCCTCCCCACTTACTGTATATGGATGATTGTGTGAGGCTCTCTTTCAAATCACGCACAGCTCATGATTTCTGCTTAAGGCTTAGGATTTACACATATCACTTGCACCATTGATTGGACTCCAAACATGATCAAAACCCTTCCTGTGCGATCCAGGCTGACTTTGAGAAGACTTTTGTTCCATGGAGATGTGGAGATATTACGCTTGGCTCTCCTACTTAAAGTCCTATCATGGACATCTCGCACAATCAGGCAGAGTTTTACCACAACATGCTTCGATCTGCCAATCAAAGTGCGAACCTGTGCACCGCAGCACAGTACCTAACCAAGCCAACAGCCAATGCCTTTGCACAAATGCACATGTACTGCACATGCGCTTGGTTTCCCTAGCTGTTGGTAGGAGTCCTACCACCAACCCTCGTGCCTGTGGGTCTCGGTCCCTCCGTGAGATGCTTGAGGCCACGATGCTTTGCGGGGCCTGGCAGAGAACGGGAAGGAGCCAAGCCACGACCTTGGTCGCTCTCGGACGTGTGATGAATAACACGCCATGAACGGTTTTAATTGCATCTCCACATGGGTTTTTGATGGTTTTTGTTTGTCAACAGTCTACAGTTAACTGTTTGGATGGTTTGCTTCTTGGATTTTGGGGAGACAGAGTTACTTGATGCCTAGCTTTCCATCTACGTCGGGCGATTCTTCTTTCTGGACGTGACGTGAAGACTTTACCTGGACATATTTCATCAGGGACTGAGAGACAATCTTATAGAAGTCCTCACTGATGGCCAGAGGTATTGTTACTGATGGGCACAGGTATATAGAATATAGAAGTGAGACACCCTGTATTCACAGGCCAGATCACGTGTTTTATTCTATGTTTGCCCCGGCTCGGGCCTTGATGGCCAGGATGTCATGATGTTGTCTTATCCCACCAGTCATCGTTTGGGACATGCCCACCAGTCCGTGTCTTTTTGTGTCCTCTCATGAGTTTTTGCAACCATGTCCTTTGGCCAAGCTAGCAACTCCGGCCATGAACATGTGCGAGTTAACAAAAGAATCCCAGATATCCATCTACGGACCGACAT